CCTGCTGGTCTTCATTAAGTTAACTGCTTTGACATTGTATATAAATAATAATAAAGTAACAGCTGACGTAGTGTAGTGAATTTATACTGAAAATATAACAGGTTTTTGGTAAACTGAGTGAGATTCCAGTAATACCACTGGAAAAAGGGAAAAGTAGAAGCTAGGTTCGTTGCCTTTATCCGAGGAAAAGCAAATTCTAAATTGCCCATCCGTTTCCCTCTCCAAAGAGTTCCTTTCATCCTTGTGGGAAATTTCTGAAACCCTCTACTTTTATGCCCTAATGTAGCTGTCCTGGAGACCTTCTTTCACAGCCACAATCACTGTGGAAGGGATGAGAATATTTTATAATTCTTTGTGTACAATATGAGGACATTATCTCAGATCTCTTAAGGAGCTGAGCACGTTGCTTTGTCCAGCACTCCCAGCCCTCTCAGTTCTCTTTTCAGCAAAACAGGTAAGTTTTGGGAAGAAACTGGGAAGAATCATGGCCCAAGGAAAGAAATTCAGGCAGTTTTAAGGCAAATATTAGATCAAACACCATGTCCTGATAATGAACTATGTAACAATGCCAGGGTGCACTTTTCCAGTGATATTACACCACATTATTCTGTCAAACAGCAGCTGTAGAGCAGCTCTTGAAAACTGAGCTTAAAGAAAAGGTGTGAAAGAGGCTTCTGAGTCAGTAAAAGCCCATTACTGCCAGCAGCCACAGGCAACAAGGTTAGTGGTAAATTTGTCAATTAATTTGTCTGCAGTAAAGCCTGAACCGCCTTTGAACCTGCACCTGGAAATGACAGAGAAAGGTGAAGTGAGGATCTGCTGGTCTGACCCTGTGCTGATGCCGTTCCCACTTCAGTATGAAGTAAAGATCTCTGCAAATTCAGGTCAAAAGGACTGGCAGGTGAGTCAGCGTTACCCAACTTGCTACCCAAAACCTCCTCCCTAGACTATTTCTTTTTGTTCCCTCTGTCTCTTTCCTTTTCTCATTTCATTATACAACAATCATGGCTTCTGATAATCCAGCAGATGGTTCAAGTTGCTCTGGAAACCTCACTGGCTGTAGACTATACAATATTTAATTCTTCATACCTCGTTCAAGTACGCTGCAGGAATCATGATGGTCCAGGGTTGTGGAGCGAGTGGAGCACACCCTATAACCTCAGTTTGGGAGGTAGGTACCTGCAGTGCTTAGGTGCAGTAAGAATCAAACAGATTTTCCATTTTGGCTTGGTTTGTGCAGTGAGTATTTGGGAGCGTGTGTATGCATGAGATGGGCTGAAACATCCTGTGCAGGTTCTTTCCTCTTCTGCTTCTCTTTCTGCCTGGCTTTGCTTGAGATTCTGCTCTTTCCTTTACACAAAACTCGCATTAAAAGAGTTTTAGACTAATGCATGTAGACTGCACAGTCAGCGCTGTCACACCTCCTTGTCTGGCCCTGTTGCTTGCTCTGTTGAGACCCAGAAAAAGCTCTTTTTCGAAGAGTTTTTCCATTTCAAAAGGCAGTTGGCAGTGTTTAATCTCTTAACACAAGATTTTTCTGCTAATGCTTTCTCTGACTTTTAGTTTAGTGCGAGGCTTTGGAGCTGAACTAGAAGTGCAGAACACAGTTTTGGGTTTGTAGATATAATGTTATTCATCTCAGTTTTTAATGCTGAGCCCTGTTAATAAACTGCATAATAGCCCCAGTCAGTCAGGTGCTTTAGTCGGAAATTTATGATCTAATTTACTGTCATCAATTTACTGCCCAGCGAGATGAGTTCCTGACACATCACATGCAGGGAGAGCTCTCCTGGACTGAGTAAAGGGCTCTTATGAGTCAAATGTCAAATGTCTGATGTCAATTGACAGGACAAGGGGCAATGGGAGCAAGCTGGAGCATAGCAGGTTCCATGTGAACGTGAGGAAAAACTTCTTTACTGTGAGAGTGACAGAGCATGGCCCAGGCTGCCCAGAGAGGCTGTGGAGTCTCCTTCTCTGCAGACATTCAAAACCCACCTGGACGCATTCCTGTGTGACCTGGTCTGGTGATCCTGCTCTGGCAGGGGTTGGACTGGATGAGCTTTAAGGTCCCTTCCAACTCCTGACATTCTGTGATTCTGTGATTATGATTTACTGACGTCCCTTATATCAACATAGCTCCTGCTAAAATGGTGGTTCACAATGGCTCTTTATTCATGGTCAGAAGATATAGGAAGGGAAACGAATTTTGTTTGGCAAATCTTTGGTCAGTTACCAGGATTGGTGATTTGAGCACATAACACAGGATGTCTCATTATATGATGAGAGTCCTAACTGCCCCATAGTCTTTTAGACTTACATCTCTCTATATATAAAACAATTCTAAAAATTGTGTGTATCTATAGAACTTTATAGCTTTGAGATATTTTTTGAAGGGTAAATACACACATTCTCACATATATTTATACTCTTATTTTTAGAACAGGTTTATGAGTGTATTGAGAAATACGGATGTAAAAGAAGTGCAGTAGGTGCTGTGAGATTATTTTTTATTAATCTTGTTGTGGGATATGTAATTGTATTAAACACACAGCTCATCAGCAAACTAATCCTGTTGTGTCAACCTGATGGCAGCATAGAAAGGTTAATTTCTTCACTGCAAGAAGCTCAGATTGGCACATTCTCCAGTGTTAGGGTGAGCCGATGGAGGAGCAGTGGAGCTGCAGCAGAGTGGGTGCAGGAGGCACAGAAACACCACAAGAGCAAATGCCGAAATCAGGCAGTCACATTTTTGTACAGCTGACCAGATTTGTGTTCTGGTTTATATTTAATATGAAGGTCTTTGACAGTGACAATGTTGTAAGTCTGCTCCACTACCCGAGAAGGCCTGCGTTTTGGACAAATCCCCCAAATACCTGACACGGTTCATGAACTGTGGAGAGCAAACCTGACCTTTTGAGGTTTTTCCTGCTGGCTTTGGGTTGAGTTTTGGCAAACTGTTCCTTTGCAGCAGGTGTGTAACACCTGGAGCTTCCCCGAGTACCTGCCTGAGGCTGAGCTGATGCACGGTCACAGGCTTTGCGAATTCAGTGTCTTTACGTGTAGGTGAATGACTTATCACTGCTACCGCTTGGTGTTAACTACACTGCTGAGACCGTAAAACAAGTTTTTGAGACCTTAATCCCCTGCTGATTTCAACAGGAGCAGTATGAGTAACTACTGAAAAGCTTGATTTGATTTGATTTTGAATTTATTTTTTTTCAGTCCCTAGGTCTGAATAGCAGTTCTCTCAAAATCGGTATTACAGTATTGCCTCAGCCACTGTATGATTTCAGCATCCTTGCAGGGTTCAAAGGATTAGATTTTTTTTTTCTCCAAACCCAAATATCACTCTTCTCTTGTTTGAGTCTTCCCACCTTTACCCAAGGACAGTTTTACAATTTTAGAATTTGCGGTGTATGTGTTTGTGTACAGAATCTCACCCTTTCTAGATTTCAGGTACTTGTTGCAGCATTTCAATAAGCTGACCTGATACCTTAAAACTGTGCTCGGAGTAAAAGGCAGCAGTGTTAATCCAATTTCCCAAGATTTAATTTACAGGAGCCCATACGGTTCTGGGTTTCTCTTGTGCTGCTGTGAATTGCTTTCACTGTACCTCCCATTGATTTTTCTGCTCATTTAATTCCTGTTTGCCTGGGGGTACGAGAGATTATTTTTATCAGAATTTACAGACATCAGTTTTGGGGGGAGAGAGTTAAGGACTCATTTCTGCCCTGCTCCCTAATAGTCATTAATAGGTATTAAAAAGTAGAACATTCACAAATACAACCGGATGGTGATGATAATAATATTTTTCTATTGACATGTGCTTTTATATTTTCTTGTTCAGATTCTGATCTCAATTGATTTTTTTTCCCTTTTTTCCCCTTTTTTGCAGCTGAAGTCCTGTACTTCCCTCCCAAGATACTGACCAGCGTTGGTTCTAATGCTTCCTTTCATTGCATCTATAAAAACAAAACCAAGATTGTAGCGTCCAAGAAGGTTGTTTGGTGGCTGAATTTAGCAGAAGAAATCCCAGAAAGTCAGTATACGCTTGTGAATGATCGCGTAAGCAAAGTTACTCTTTTCAACTTGAAAGCAACAAAACCTAGAGGAATTTTCTTCTATAACGCATTGTACTGTTGTCATCAAAATAGGGAATGTCATCATAGATACGCTGAATTATATGTAGTAGGTAAGATTCCAGACGATTTTAAATTACAATTTTGGTGCATTTTAATAGTAAGGTCACAGTATTTCCATTTTAAGCTCCAGTTAGTTTTATTGAGCAGTTATGACTTGCAATGCATGTTTTTTAATATAAACAATTATATCTTTATTAATGAACTCCCAATGTGTTTTAATTAGATGTGAATATCAACATCACATGTGAGACAGATGGGTTCTTAACAAAAATGACTTGCAGATGGTCTGCAAACCCAGACACCTTGCTCCTGGGAGGCTCCTTGCAGTTCAGATACTCCAGGTGTGTATAGTGTGTTAAAATATGTGTATTTTAGTGCACTCTTTATGTCTGGAAAACTTTGCTCTGGAAATACTATTACAGCAAAGAATTCTGAATAGATGTGATTATAAAATGTGCTCAGTTTCTGTAAGCTGGACTTTCTCCCAGCTGGAACTCCCCAGGTATCAACTGTGTGTGTTGGAATGGGACCACAGATACCCAAGTGTCTGACATGGATTCTGTTTACCATGGTTTTCAGCATTTGTAAAACCTGTAGATGCAATTTGGAAGCCAGTTCTCCTAAAGTAAATGTGTTTGCTTGTGTATTATTCGACCAGTTGCTTGTATCTACAAATTGTAAGGAAATAAGGAAATAATCATTCACAGTGAGAGACACACAGACACACAGAATCGCTCGGTTG